TATTTTTTTCACCCAAATAAAGACAAGGGAACAAGCTTTAAGATGATACCAATAACTCTACATGCCCAAAAATTGACGAGAGCCTGATTCCACCACGCTGCCTCACATTTTGTTTTTTACAATTTTTCTCAGCTGTGTAGAAAATACAGATAATGCCTTTCACTATGGATTCCTCCAAATGTTGATTTAAGAAAGAAAAAATGAAAGACAAGGTCACTTTTTCAAAATAGATTTTCTTTGTGCTGGCAACCGTACAATGGCCTTCATTGAGAATTGTGATGGTAGAAAAAGGGGGAGAGGGGATGGGAGGGAGGGGTGTAAGTCGGAAGTAAGATCGTATAAATAGAAGACGCGACTGCGACGAATACTGACAACTTTCAACTGTGCGCGTTAAACGAAAACCTGAATCATGGTCTCCCTCGCCTTCGTTTGCCTCGTGAGCTGTGTCTTCTCTGGAGCGCTCACACAGACTGTGACAGAGGCCCCGTCCTTGTCTACGTCATTCCGAGCCCTCGCTGGTGCAGCTGACACGAACAATGATGGACTGGTTAGGTTTTATTTGTTTGTTCGTTCGCTTGTTTTTGTTTGTTTTTGCTTCTTCCTTTGTCCGAAATTGTCCCGTAAGTTTCTTTTGAAACAATGTAGCATGTGTAATTGCATGTAAGTGGTTGGTGGAGGGCGCCCCTGGTACGGTAGGTCTTACATCTTTACTTTCCGTTTGTTGTTTCTGTCTGTCTGTCTGTCTGTCTGTCTGTCTGTCTGTCTGTCTGTCTGTCTGTCTGTCTGTCTGTCTTACTTTTCCCTACACTATATGACCATTATTTTGTCGGTGTGCCTCTCTTTACTCAAACAAACAAACAAACAAACAAACAAACACATGGGTACACACCCAAACTTTGTTACATGTACATAAATGTACAACTTTTCAGCTTCATAGTTCTCATCGACCAGGCAGGAAGCATTAATTTAATTAAGAGCTTCATTGCTGGTATTGCTGTCTGGTACAGACTGGACTGTGGCGTCGGTGGTCTACTAGTACGTAGAGACTGCGTGTTCAGAGGTTCGAGCCTTAGCTCGGTTCAACGTTGTCCCTCGGGAAAGACGGCACATTTGACTTTTGACAAAATTTCCTCTTCTTTCTGAGATGGACGTTAAACTCGGAGGTCCCTCCTCTTAAATAGCCTAATAGTGTTGATAAGGGCGTTAAACCTATACATGTACCATTTTACCATTTTCACAGACTGAACGATAAAGTTTTCAACGACTGTAGGCCGCAGGCAAATACAAAATACAAACCGATCACAATGCATGTCTGGGAACTGCTATTTGCTGATGATTGTTCACTGTCTACCCATGAAGAATCCAATGTACAAGACCAGTACATGTAATCTGTTTTTAAATATACCAACTTGAGAAGTTTGCACAGAATTCAACAAGACAAACTGTTTTGCTCTCTTTTCAAGTGCATATGAGAACTATGGGCCACAATAAGCAGAGCAAAGATAGTAATGTCTTTTCCTGCCCGTCCTTGGTGACATGAAGACCTTCTCATCTAAAACTAAAGTACACGATAATTGATATAGCACTAAACAGCGTTGATGGCTTCAAATATCTTGGCAGTATACTGTCCACCTTAGAATTGCAAAGCTCTGTCTGACATTTTTGACTGTTTTGAGTTACTAAAGCCATGAGGTCAAAAACCAAATTTTAATTATATTTTATCTGCTCTATCAAAATCAGATTATTCAGAGTCGTTATCAAGATATTCAAAGAACTGCATTCATTTAGTTTAATAAGCTTTTACGTAGTTGGCAACTGCATATTAAGGAATTGCATTCGAAAATGTTTGTCATGTTGTAAAACTAAAAAAAAAATTACGTCGAATTTCTCAAAAGTAGGCACTGAGCAGATAGAACTGTGTAATTCTAGGGTACCGTTGTTAATGTCTTCAAAGTCCACATCGATGGAGAAATAGCTTTACGTACGGACAAAAAGTCAGCACATCCTCTGGAAGACTCAGAGCAAGGGTCTAGGACTGATGTAGAATTCGCAAAGAGACCATGCTGAAAGTCTACAGTTATGTTGTATTCCTCCGATCCCCGTTGTACGGTGCCGAGACCTGGACTGTGTACTAAAGCCATGCCAAGAAACTTAATCATTTCCATATAACATGCCTCAGGAGAATATTCTTGGCGTCAATTAATGGCAGGGCAAAATAGCAGACACAGAAGTTCTCCAACTGGCAAATGCCGAGAGTTAATTGTGTAAGTTCAAAATGTGAGGCAGCGTGGTGGAATCAGGCTCTCGACAATTTTTAGGCATGTAGAGTTATTGGTATCATCTTATTAAAGCTTGTTCACTGGTCTTTATTTGGATGAAAAAATATCCATTTATCTTGAATACAAGTCGAGATATAAAATTGTTTTCAGAGGTAAAATTCGTGAAAAAATGGCCACCAAAGATTAGTTATTTCTTTAGCTTTAGAGTCCGTGGTAATTGAAAATTTACATTTTTTGTGCCTTTATTCAACGTTTTTCAGAAGAAAAAAAATCCACACAGAAATGAGTTCTTTAAAAAGGGCACGAAAGGTGTTGAGGCAAAAAACAAAAATTTGATACAAATTCACAAACCTGCGGAAAAATGCAAGTTTCTTCACTTTAATTATTTTTGACGAGAGCCTGGTTCTACCTTGCTGCCTCACAAATTATTCAACCTGGCGTAGCTGGCCACATTGTACGAATGCCTGATTTCAGAATCCCTGTGGTTTTTGGGTTGTTCTTGTTTTGTTTTTTCTAAGCGGAAACGTACATTTGGACTACCAGCCATACAAAGAGACCAAGAAATTGTCAAAGAAGGTTTTCAATCTTTTGATGTAAGAAAGCATAGCTCGTGACAGGACCAGTTGGAGAGCAGCAATCACAAAGGACAGCTTATCTTAGTTATGAGGCTTCATGAATAAGACAAGCTCAAGACAGAAGAGAAGCTATGAAGCTGTGAACATCCAGAGGTGCAAAATGAAGCGTTTAACTGCTCAAATTCCCACCAGAATCAGTCTCATTAGTCATAACAGAAGCCGCAAGTCATCCTAATCTATAACATCTCCTTCTTGATCTCACCAGTGACAGTTATAAATATGATGTGTCTTTGTGTTCCCTTCACTCAAACAGTGACCGTTATCGTGCTGAATAATAATATGCTTCTTTTTACTTAAACAATGACCCATTTTTTTCGCTCCATGTCCACTCAACTCAGATGTCAAAGGAAGAGAGAACAGCCGACTTCAAAGCCAACTTTGACACAAATAATGACGGCTGTATTGATTCCACGGAATTCCTGGCACGATTTAGAGGTCAGTGTACTATGTAATAGCGTATTTGAACTTCAAGGTTAATTGTACGTCTTTTTATTGCTTAATTTCCAATGCCGAAAGTCACAGACTAGCTTACGCCACCACCACCTTTTCTTTTGTACTTTCAGCATTGAACTTCTCTGTCTAGTTTGCGTCCTTTTAATTGACTTATTTTCAATTCTGAAATGTACTATCGGGCTCATGTCTATTTTTTTCTTCAATTTTAGCGCTGAACTTCATCGTGTGTTGTGCATCCTTTTTATTGCTTAATTTTCAATGCAGAAATTCACCGTCTAGCTGGCATCAATCCCCCCTCTCCTTTCCCCCCTTTTACTTTCAGCTTTGAATTCCACCGTCTGTTATGCGTCCTTTATAATATTGCTTAATTCCCAATGCTGAAAGTCATTGACTAGATCCATAGGCACACTGAATTAAAAGTGGGAGAGTCCGCGATCTGTGAATGTGAAAGCGACCAAGAGGATACCAACCACTGCCAGCGCTACGCCACCCTTCGTACACAGACGTGGCAGAATGTGACTCCCCTTGAGAGAAAGCTCTATGGCAGTCTCTCAGATTTGAAGCGGACTGCACAGTTTGTGCGAGACATCGGACTGACTGTCTAGCTGCTGTCATCGAGAACGAGGAAGAAGAAGAAAAAATTGACTAGCTAACGTCAGCCAAACCCCCTCCCTTTCCTCTTTAAAAAAAACTTTCAACTCTGAACCTCGCCGACTATTTTAAGTCTATTTTCTCCTGGTATTTTCAACGTTTTTTTCCAGTATTTTTGGGACACCTGAATAGACATAAAGATCTTGAACATCAACCTCTCACTGGCAAAATTGAAGGCAAACGAGGCAGGGGTAAGCCCAGAGCAACCTACTTTGGGAACCTAAACAAATGGGTGACGGGGAAAGATCAGGGAAACGTAGCTTTTTAAAGAGATTCAGAGCAAAGTAACGAATGGAGAACCATGATCGCCGATGTCTGCCGCAGATCTGGCACTAGATGATGATGATTTTCAGCGATGAACTTTACTGTCTCTTTTAAGTCCTTTTTCCCCCTCATATTTTGAGCGATTAACTTTACAATCTATTTTAAGTCCCTTTCCCCTCATATTTTCAGCGATGAACTTTACATTCTATTTTAAGTCTTTTTCCCCCTCCTTATATTATTTTCAGCTCTGAACTTCACCACCGAATTCGCCTCCTTCATGTTCTGGAGCAGAGTCGCCCAAAATGGCGACCTGAACAACCCTGTGTGCAAGGGTTTCAACGTGAGCAGGCCTATCCCCGTACC